ACTATGTCTACCTCGTGTGTAATGTATCGTCATCATAGTTCTATTTAAGTTTGATATGGCCTTTTTTTAGTCTTACAAACAACTAGGGAATATCACGAAATATGAATATATAATCGACCACCTACGCATTTGTCAGTGAAAGACTCGCGTCTCTAAAATCAGAATAAAACATACACTCATACATAATTTGTTCTAAGAAGATCGTACAATGTGAATCGGATAGGAAATGTGAAACTGAGACGGGTCGTGTGCTCTCAGTCTGGTGTATGTCAGAGTTCTCAGAGGTATTCAGCATATGGTAGTGAACGGCGTGTTTCACGGGGAATACGGGCGTTGTACCAAAGGGTTAAGGCAGGTAAGAGTAAATGCAATGAGGAGGCCTGGCGTCTTGCCAACCGCTCCCCTGCCTCAGTCACTGCTCGGCACTTGACTGGAGCACACGCGCCCCGTTGCTGCGGAATTTGGAAAGGTCATGTGAGCAGTTGTCAAATTTACGGATTTATAAAGGTGGTCCTCTTCTTTGGAAATCTGTTGCATCCGATGATGAGCGAGGAAAGGTTAGTCCATGAATGTTTCCTTTTTTATTTACTTCGTATATGATAATCGTTGCGGGTTTCTTCCAAGTATGAGAAGCAACGGAAGATAAGTAGGAATGTCAGCTTCCTCCGTGTCGACAGAGGTTAAAGTTCAACAGAACCGTATTATCAGTAGCATATGAATCCGCACTATCCATCTTCTCTCTAAATATGTGGCTGAATGTTTATGACACTTGTTTACATCTTATGTATTTGATATTCACCGCACATTGACCTCCGCTGCCCTTGGTGCTTCTTAAGGCCTCGCTTTCCAGCCAAATCTTTCATAACTGCGATGTGGCGAGAAAGAGAATCATGATAATGGGAATTAAAATGACGAAGAGTGAATAAGTAGAGCACATAAGCTGAGTTATACCGTTAGTAGATCCATTATGTCAACAAAGGTTTTTTGAACTCCGTCGGGGTCAGCAGAGCGTAAGAGGTATTGTATTATGTAGACAGGTTTACGACATTGGCAATGGCACATTATCTTCACCACCACCATCATCATCATCACAATCATAATCACCTCACCACCACCGTCATCATCATCCTGATCATCGTCATAATCACATCATCATTATCACCACCACCATCGTCATCATCATTTTCATCATCACCACTACCACCATCATATTCCCATCATCACTGTCATCATCAAAATCATCATAAACACATCATCACCACCACCATCATCATCAAAATCACACCACCACCAACATCATATTTATCATCACCACCATCATCATCACCATCACCATGATCATCATAATCCCTTCATTCTCAACACAATTATCATTCCTATCTTAGGGAAAAATAGCGAACCACACAGAGTTGAAAAAAAGGTCACATAGAAAGCAAGAGAAAGTAAATGAGATAAACATTACCTTAAAAGAAAGCAGGTCAAGAGGCCATGGCTGAGAGTGTCGAGCGAAGATCAGTGCCAGGTGACGAATGGGTAACTTCCTGTTATCAACGTTCTTTGTTTTGATTTTCTTTTGTTTTATCCTTCTGATAACCGCAATACGTTTGAAATTGCAGGTTGGAAAAGGTCATGGCTTGCTCTTGGATGTGTTTTAAGACTTTTGCAATATTTTGTCTTATTTTCGCCCTGTAGATAATGGATATTGATCGGTGAAAGCACAGTGAACGCACGAACAAGTGTTGTCGGAGCGAAAGCAAGATGGACACTTAGCCACATTTTTTTCGGAGAGTGAATTGGCGATTTTGAAAATCGTCGTGAAAGTTGGCTATTATGTAATTCCTTTCAATTCAAGTTGATTTAATCCGTTAAATGCTTTCGATCCGGTCAACAGCCATAGGAATTTGTAATGAAAGACAGGAAACGGGAAATTATTGAGTAGAAAACGGAAAGGACTCTCTACTATTTGACTGTCTGAAGAGGGATGCCTTCATTACTTCTGTGGTTGTGTTTCACCTTTCTAGAGTTAATACTGTGCTTTTATTTACAGGAATATGTCACAACTGGGCCGGATAAGAAATAATTGTAGTTGTTGCCCACCGAAACCCCGAATTTGAAAGGCATTTAATTTATTGAAGAAAAATATGTATCGTTAAAGCAAGAAGACCAAGGAGAAGGGAAATAAAAAGGTAATCTGAAATGATAATTAAAAAGTTATAATATTGATTAACAATACAAGAGACAAACCATATTTAGGAAACAAGGAAAAGGGGAAGAGAAATATAGCTAAGAATTAAACAAGACAAAGAAATTAAAAAAGGGAAAAAAAGAAAAGGAAAACAAACCAGATGCAAATCGAACGAAGGAAGACATATATAAAGCATACTGAGCAAATATTCAAGCGAGAAATCCATATGTACCGCATTCTGGCATTTAACTAGTTCATACACTATATGAATATTCTAGTAAGATTAGCACTTACATCTGCATTGAAATCTCCAATACACAAGTGGCGCGGAGTCAAAATATTCGTTCCATTTTCTGGTTAGAGAAAAATATCATTTGTTATCATTGAAATCAGTGATAGAAAATGATGCATTTTTATTTTCATTTACTTGATAAATACTAGTATCTGATATTTTACTTGTTTTCGTTAACAGGTATGACTATTTACATACCTGTCTTTAAATAAAGATATATACATAGGTTCCATATATAATCTAGTTTTACTTTGTGTTTTTTCCACCATATAATTACGTATAAACTTGAACCGCATGCCATATGGTTCCTTGATAAAAAGAAAGAAAAGCAAAGCAAAGAAAGAGTAAATTTTTCTTTCATATTTTTAACTTTTTATTTAAATAATGTTGAAAATGGGAAACCATTTTTGCTGCAAGATTGTATATACTGTTTCCTGAACTTTGAAGGAAATTGCAGAGGAGACAGCTAGGTCAGATCAGCATTGAAATAACATGTCGCTAGATTTTAGAACGTCAGTATTTCGGGATAAACTAAACGTTTCATAAACCTTATTATTCATAAAACATTGTGCCGGTTCTTTTGCAGGTTCTACAGTTTAGCTATCAGGTTTTCACTGTCTCAAGAGAATCAAAAGATGAAAGAGCAAAAAACAAAGAAAAATGCCGTCCCTTCCTGTCTTGAGTTTTTGTGAGGAGAACAGGATGGGGCGGGCGGTGACCTGCAGTCCTGTATGTGTAACTACGCTCTCCCCTTTCGCTTATACCTCCACTCTCGTCTTGTCCATTTCTACCTTGCCCACCTCTCACCTCTCTCTCTCTCTCTCTCTCTCTCTCTCTCTCTCTCTCTCTCTCTCTCTCTCTCTCTCTCTCTCTCTCTCTCTCTCTCTCTCTCTCTCTTTCTCTCTCTCTCTCTCTCTCTCTCTCTCTACCGTCACCTTTCTCTCTCTCTCTCTCTCTCTCTCTCTCTCTCTCTCTCTCTCTCTCTCTCTCTCTCTCTCTCTCTCTCTCTCTCTCTCTCTCTCTCTCTCTCTCTCTCTCTCTCTCTCTCTCTCTCTCTCCATTTCGCTTCCTCTGCCCCCCCCCTCCTACTGTCTTTCTCATATGTATATTCTCCACCTTAATTTGCCTCTTAATCCTGTTTCAGTAATATCTTCATGTACATATAAATATTTATTGAATTATTAATTTATTAATTTATTCATTCATTGTTATTCTTTTATATTGTGTCTCTAATGGTACCTTTTATCACCCAGTAAAGAAAACACTAACTGTCTGTACATCATCAGCTTAGCGTGCAGGAATATTCTGTATTTTGTTATTAGGATTATGGAACTCGTCTTACGTTTGTTTCTGTTGCTATCACTTGCACCTATACGTGTACATACCTTAACACACAAAGGTAGATATACATTGTATAAGCACAAACATTTGTGCCTCTCTCTCTCTCTCTCTCTCTCTCTCTCTCTCTCTCTCTCTCTCTCTCTCTCTCTCTCTATATATATATATATATATATATATATATATATATATTTATATATATATATATATATATATTTTTTTTTTTTTTTTCTTTCTCTTTCTCTCTCTCTCTCTCTCTCTCTCTCTCTCTCTCTCTCTCTCTCTCTCTCTCTCTCTCTCTCTCTCTCTCTCTCTCTCTCTCTCCCTCCCTCTCTCTCTCTCTCTCTCTCTCTCTTTCTCTGTCTTCAGTTATGAAATCTATGGATTTTACTGCCGCAACCGTCCCGTTTTACTCGCTTTAATTACGCGATAATGGGGGAAACGGCAAAAAAGTAGCTACTGGCTCGGCGCTTTAAAATCGTGACTGTGAAGAGTTTTATTTTAGCGTATATTGACGAAGAATGATCAGCTGACGACCGGGATACAGTAGAAAAAAAAATGTGGTTAGCTAGCACAGTGACGAGGTTTCATTGCCAGCGAGAGAAAGAGACAAGGCTTATTTGGGCAATAACAAGCTTATATACTGGTATTGTTAAGGGCCGTAAAGTGTGGTTTGACTCATGCCTTTGCTCTTGCTTGGTGATCTTGTTGACTACACGTCCCCCTATGTGTTTGTATGTGGTGTTGTGTGCGATTCTTTGTGTGTGTGTGTGTGTGTGTGTGTGACTGTTCTCATCTGTGTTTGTGTCTACTGTTTGTATTTAGTTAGTTTGTGTTTGTCTTTATTCATGTAAACATATGTTTGTGTTTTCCCGAGTTTATATATACATCTGTGTTAGTTTTTTAATTGCTCTCAGTACAGTGAACCTTCTGGAGCTAGACAATTACCTTAAACATTCCGTTATTTCCTTATCAGTTCCCATGGTTTTTATAAATCTACTTTTTTATCCCTGAAAGTACTTCCAGTTTTAGGAGGTAATTTTGTGCTATGATTACGAGATATATCGCTCGCGGTTTATATTTCCGTCAGCATTAACAATATGTCACATCTCGTAAGAACTTTGTTTGCCCCGAAAATAGTATATAATAGTATATAATAGTATATAAATAGTAGATGATAATGAT